GAATAGATGATTTAACTCACCATCCTACATGGGTTTATGTGATGATAAGTCTCACTGCATTTAATGGGTCTTATTCTTTAATATGGTAAGTGCATTTTTAAAATGTTTTAACAATCTTTTTTTTTGAGAACAATGCCTTAGGAACAGCTGCAGAAAAGGAACTGTAAAATATGGACCACAATATATCTCCATTACGCTTGTCTAACAACATTAGACAAAAACGATGTGACAGTTGTTTAGTACTCAATTATATTCATGTTAAGGACCCCAAAACAGCATTTGGGCTATCTAGCCCTCACTTAAAGAAATCCACAGGATTTATTCTATTTTTAGAGAATAGTGTCCCTCTAATTTGCTGCCACCTTTCCAAATTTCAAATTCAAATTTATAGCCCTATAGAATAATGGTACACATTCAACATTGAAGAATTAGAATAACATCCAGTATACTAATTTTGTAAGCTGCCCAGAGTCACGTATGTATTACCTTAATATATTGCATCTATTTCTAGAGCAGCTATGCAGCTGGAGAGCTCTGTTCTCTTATCATTTGGGGGATCTCTGGCACTTGCAAAATGTCAGCTTATTTGAGGGAATAAAACCCAAGCAGTATGACATTACTTGAAAGTTTAATACCAAAACCCTTCACTGACATAGAGAAGGAAGAATCCCCATTCTCTACTGATTAGTTTTCGACTTTGTGAAATAAATCACATGTTCCACTTTCATCCAACACCTTGAATGCTGGCCCCAAATCCTCAATTTCCACATTTGTCATATAGAGGGAAGGACAAAATCAGTACGAATGGTGTAGAACCTTCTGCACAGAGATCCTGGTAAAGCAAGGTGCCAAAATAAGCAGCCATGTATTCCTTATGGTTATAAAGTCTTGCTTGGCCTTAATGACTGGAAAGAGGTTGAGCCTCTTCCTCAGCAGAATGTGAAATAAAGATCAGGTTCATGAACCAATGGGTGGTGGGCAAACTAATATGTTCCGGGTGTACAACACTGACATACAAATCTATAGTTGCATGCACTCTCTCCTATTCCAAACTCAATTCACAAAGATGACATAATTTAAATCTCTCCTTCCTGAAAGTTGAAACTATATCTGGGCAGGATAGAAGACGCAAGATTCAAATGAAGGGAAAAGCTCATAAGAGCTCAGCTCCCTACCATCCAAACAGGCTGTCAGGAGAAGAGTCGTGATGGAGAAGGCATACAAGGCAGGGCATCCTCTCTCACTGTGTTCTGCAGCAAGCGTTTGGCAGCTAAGGTAGAGGGGGGGATTCAGAAGCAGCCGCAGCAGAGGCAGCAAGAAGATCTATGGTAGGCTGCACAAGAACTTCTCGCAGGGACCATTCTGGCCAGCAGACCACAGCTGCACAGCTTCTAAATCAATTCTAACACACAGGAATGTATACCATAATACATTTGAAAAGTCTTTAAGGTGTCCCAGGACTCTTTATATTTAATAGTATGTTTTCATTTCTCTGAGCTGTTCCGTACTGTTTTGCATAATGCAATTGTATTGCACTGTATTTGCATAATGCATTATCCTAAGATATTATATACGTGGTTTAGAGAAAACTAGTTACAGATCAGAAACATAATACCAAAATAAATTATTTCTGATGCGCAAATGACTACATTACAAATTCGTGGAACTGATCTTTCAGACTTTCTTCTATGATGCTTTATCGTGGATAACGGGGAAAAGTTGGCCTGCTCCAAGACACTCTGGTGTCTGAGGCAAAAGAGAAGGCAGTAAGTTTCCTGTTCTATTTAAGGATGCTGATTGCCCCGGCAGTTGACTCTTACTTCAACGCTATAGATGGTATCTTCTACCAGAGTTGAGGTCATCAGTTTAGCTGAGGGGCATAGAAAAGGTCACAGTGCACTCACAGTCCTCCCCTCCAACAACTTGTAGTTTTTTGTCACACAATACCTGTTGCCTTGTTCCACCCAACAATAAAGCCGGTCCAGGGAACAAGAAATCTAATTGTATGACTAGGATGTCTTAAGATGGTGCCTAATCTCAGGGACTTAGTCATTATATAAATTATACTTGAATATGCTCAGGTACACATTGTCTTTAGAAAAACCAAACTCTCTAAGGTTGAATCATGCCACTGAAAGGAGGTTCCAAGGTTGAGCCCAAACACAAGTTTAATTTTTATCTTAAGTATTTTGAATTAGTAGCAATTAAGCTTTGTGTTTCTAAAGTAACTTTCAGACTTGCCACATAAAATAGCCCCATGCCACATGAAAACCAGACAGACAAAGCATCAAACAAAAGTTTAACTTTTATTTACCTCAGCCTAATTGTCTGTTTCCTGTCTTTGAGTGCTCTGTACTCATCTTTCCTCCCAAAGGTTTACAAAACAGCAGCTATCAGAGATAAGGAGTATGCCTATTCATAAGAAGTATACTTATTCATTAAATAACATCAAGGGGAAAATGCTGCTTCATTTATTTTGTTGCTAAGTTGCTCAAATGGATCAAAATATGAACTCATTGGCTTAGAAAAATCTTTGATATCCTTAGATTTACTGACATTTTGAAACTCTTGTTTATACTTGCCTATTTAAAAAGAAATAGGAAGAAGTACCATTCCATTTAGTGTCTGGACTGTTTTTCTGAAATGTTTTTATATATTCCTTATACTGAAGCATATGCAATAGGAGTAAAATTCAACATATAATCTATAAATGGTTCCAGATATATATAATTTCACATATTCTATAAAGAATTCTATAAGAATAAAATAAAATAAAATAAAATATACAATTGTTTAAAATTAAAATCAGGTCACAGACATTAAATAGCAATAGTATATCATGATAGAATATCAAAGTGAAATTGAAGAATACCTGTTTTTAAGTTTAACTCAACCAGAAGCTCATTGGATAATTATGGTCCAGCCACTGTCCTTTAGGCTAGCTTAAAAAATTGTTGCACATAAACCATATATGCCACCATGAGCTGCAGACACAAAGTCAAACTATGACTGCTTATGTATATGCATATACATTTGGGTCTATGTACTACATACATTTGCAGGTACATGTAAATGAATCCCCCAGTTGAAATATAAAAAGAGCCATGTAAGAACAAGTGGGTGGGGATATCTATTTTTCCCTGTCAATTTGCTGTTGCTTTTATTTTTGTTAAAAATCCTGGCATTCAATGGAAGGAGATTAAGCATGTTAGATCTAGACTAGTGGAGCTGGAGGCCTGACCCCAAGTCCTCTCAGGGATCCAAAAGTCTTTGGAACTGGCAAATCCAAAACCATCTATACCTCATCCCTAAAATGCTATATCTTGGGACCTTCCACTGATATTATCTTTACACCTAAATAGCATTCTCTGAGCAGATACAACCCTCTGAGCTGGTAGAATTCCTGTCGCCAGAAACAGGTTTCCTCCACCTCATCCTAACTTTTGCCAGCCAATGTATTTGAGAATTATAATTGGTCTGTAAATATATAAATGTACTGATGGATGGTAGCCCTCTAGATTATTATCACTGAATGTCTCTTGAGAAGTCCTTCAATTATCTATCTTCTGACCCATTAAATTCTCTGCAGGTGACATTACCTGTCTGACTCTATCTGTCCTTGATAATTAAACAAATCTTCAAGCTTGTGGTTAAACTGATCAGTTGAAGAGTATTATGAAGATAGACACCAGTAATTTGCATGAAAATTGGGAGTTGGAATATCCTGTCGTATCAGCGGGTTAAGGTTTTAAAGAATGTTACATATGCATCTTTTGTCTTAAATTACATCCAATTCAACAAAATATTTTTTTCCAAGTGTACTGGATACCTTAGAGGATATTTATTAAGAGTTAAATGTCAACTTCAGTATGACGGAAGTGTAAAATGGTGGAGGGAACATTGACACCTATGCTTTGGGACTGCTCCATGGTTGTTTCCTTTTACCTTAAGTAAGTATGTTAATATGGAATTGGGAAGAGAAAGAAGATTCAAGAATGTTACTGTAAGGATGAACTTTATACCAAAAATTTGGAATGTAGTGATCTATGAAAAACTGAATCTATAAATATGGCTTGCAGCTAAAAGTGGTTTTCCTTCAGTGGAAAGATTCTGTAACTACGCATTTTAAATCTTGGACTAATGAAAGGCATTGACTCTCATCTATTTCATACTGAACAGAGAAAAATCTCACCAATACTGCTAAGGTTGTCAAGATTTAGCCTGTTGTTTAAAAATGTGTTTGTGTGTGTATAGTTTTTTTTCTTTTCTTTCCCCCTCCACCCATTCTGTTTATTTAGTTTCTGTTAAGTCTTTCTACATTTTATATGCAATATCAATTATTTTTTAGAAAAAGTAGAAATGAACCCGATTAGTAGTTCAATGGAATACCTCCATGGAACAGCAGGACTAGCTTGAAAATTTGAGAAGACATCCTAGAAGAAGGCAGTGGCAACCAATTCTCTATTAATCTCTAATATTCTCTATTATCCAGGAAAACTACATGAATGCCCCCCCCCCCATAAAGTCACTGGGAGATTTGCTCAACTCATCAAAATGCTCTCAGCATACTGGGAAAGAATCTTGGTAACAAATCTGCCAAATCTTCTAATAAAAGACAAAGCTGACCTACTCAAAGCAAGTCATACAACTGATAAATTTAACCTATCCTGAAATTTTTAATGATTTTGCCCCCCACTTTCCAATATTTCTGTCTTGCCATTTGTGGAATTGTCAAATATAGATTTTTTGGTTTTGGTTTTTTTTTTTTTTTAAATCACAACCTCCTAAAACTATGATGTTTTAACATTATAAAAGAGGAGGAAATTATTTTTAAATGTTACCTTCGCTTAACTGCGTATCAACGTAATTCCATCCCTATCTGTTTTCTGAATTGCTATAGTCTAGGAATTGGTGAACTGGCTCTGTACAATTTTGCCTCCAATCCTATTAAAAGCCATTTTTAAGGGTAATTGTTTAGTATAGAACATGAAATAGCTTACCTTTTCACAAACTCATCAAAATGAATGCGATGAGAATATCCTTGCTGACGTATGTTGACAGTCTCTAAAATGCCAGTATAGCGTAGCTGCACTAAGACTCTCTCTTGAGAAAATTTCAATGCCTCTCGGTCATCATTGGGCTTAATACAGCGAACGAAGTGAGGTTGCCCAATCACCATTTTAGACAACAGATCCATCAGAGAATACTAAGAAAAGTAAAGCAAGATAAAATATAGCTCAACAGCACTATTTTCTTTGAAGGGAATGAAATTCTAGGCATCCTTCTCCTACCTATATCTAAACATCTGTTCTAATAAGATGTAAGAGACTTGAAAATATGTTTGAATCCCTTTGAAATCTGCCCTCTTCTCACCCAGTTTTTCATTGCCAGACAAGCCTTACCTTAATAGTTTTCCTTTGACTTCTGTCTCTCCTCAGTTCTACTAAAATAATTAAGCCATTTGCTGACAAGTTCATTCATCCCTGCCTTGTCCATCTAAAGGAATCCCTTCTGGCAGGGCTTGTGTATGTTCAGCACAGTGCCAGGCGTATTGCCAATATTATTTAAATGAGATGTTGGGAAAGCAGTGAAATTATAGGACTACAATTTCAATTTCCTACCCTGAAATAGGAAGCCACAGTTTGTCTCTTCATGTTGGTGGTTTCCTCAGGATGCCTCATAATTTCCATGGTGTCAACCTGGACACAAAAATCAGAGAAGTAAAAAGTCTTGAGCTATCTGTTACTGTGCTTAATATTCAATATATGCTTTGCAACATTATTTCCATCCATTCATTGCATCATCAAAGACTGTGCATCTGTCTTGAGCTGTGAATGTCGAGAAAAGTTTCTTACTTCAAGAAAAATCACCTGGTTGGCAACTACCACAATGTGTAGTACCTCATTTTCATGTGTCTCTGATCTCTCAGTGTCTGAGAGCAATTTGGAGGGAAGTTGGGGGCCTTAATGTCATCACATCATGTATAAGGAGACAGAGAGGTGTGTCTCAATGACTGTCTTCACACTCCTCACAGTTCTTGGAGATCACCAATTTTAGTGTGATGACGAATTTGTAACATTTTTTTTTCAGAATTCAGGATAAAATTGGAAGGTAGTACAAAAGAGAGCATAGATCAATGCAGTTAATGTAGAAGGTCCCAATTAGCTGCTGAGAAACTCCTGCAATCAAGACTTGGATAGTCTCACCCATCTGAAATAGAGAAAACTCAGCTAGATAGGCAAATCGCTTGATAATATATAGTTATAATTCTATTTATTCTTCTCCAGTATGATGGAAGTATTTTCTCTTTTAAAGTATGTGTGATATGGTTCTAAACTTTTACCTGATTTGTCAGGATAAATGGTCAATATTTTGAAAATGTACATTGCTTTGTGCCACTTAGTTGGTCCTAATACAAGCTTTGCCCAACTGTGGATGTTGCTGTTATTGACAACATTGCTATAGTTATTAAAGAGCTAAATCATTTTCTTCTTTTATATTTGTTTTACAATTCATATGTAAGCTGAGAGCATTTTCACTCATTTTTTACACTTCCCAAACCCACACAATCATTTTCAAATGACTCTAATAGCTGTTACCATCCCTTCCTAGAAACACCAAGAACTGAGTAAACTAACAAGTGCTCCCTCCAACTAGCAGCAGAAATCAGCAAGCACCCAGACAGCCTGCTTAATTTGTGCTGTGTTCCACAGTAATTTCAAAAGTTTGTGTAATGCTAAAGAACATACCCAGAAGGTGGAGGTCCTACCAATGGGGAATGCACACCTCAAGCCTCAGCAGAAAACCCCCCCCCCCCCCCCCGGTGTTTGCAGAGATTCCTTTTGCACTGTAGGAGAGGCAAAAGTTAATTGATTTTGCTACTCAACAGAAAAGTTGGCATGTACAGAACCAAGCCTGGGGTTGCAAGTGAATGTGCCTCGACTATGGCTATGAGTAATGGTATGTGGGAAAGACCTTGGGAGATGGGGCAAAGAGATGCTGCCTAGGAAGCATTCAGATAAGAGACAGCATAGCTCGCAGCTGGATAGTGGGCAGGTCAAGAGGCTCAGAAGGGATCCTCCCTAGTTTCTTGGGCTGTAAAGGAGACAGCAGGAGAATTGTACTTTCAGACTTGCAAGATTCTGTTAATGTAGTTTTACAATAAAGTAGAATTAGCTCATCTGGTCGTGTTTCCTGTCTGGTCTACCTAGTACGGCTGACACTATGCATTTGAAGTTCTCTCAATCTTTCTCTCTTCTGCATTAATCTCTTTTCTTTCATTCTTCTTCATTAATCTCTGTTGCAGCACCTGCCCTATGAAACAGAGATCCAGGTGGTGTGCGCCCTGTTAGCTTTTTGTAAGGCATTAAAGACCTGGTGGTTCCCCGGGCTTTGGGGTGGGAGGTTTAGTGAGCCCTGTTGGCTGAACTGCTTGGTTCCAGTCCTATGACTAGAAGTGGAATGTTTTCAGACCTTGCACATACGTTTATGTTTATTTTGTTGGTTTGGGTTGTTATTTATAGTGTGCTTTTGTTTGGGTTTTAATCCTTGTTCACTACCTAGAGTCACTGTATTGTGAGATAAGCAGCTATATAAATTGTTAAACAAATAAAATTAAAACCTGAAATAATTATCCTGATACAATCTTTCATCAAAATAGATCACTCTTTAATTGATACATGCACCTATATAAGGTACTTCATAGTAGATAATAGCAGCAAGCCCACCTTTGCTGATCTTGAAAAAGCTAAGCAGATCAGTATGGGTTAGTACTTGGATATGAGACCATCAGGAAATCTGTAAAAAGGAAGGTCCTCAGGGAGGGGGAACAAACAACTCCAGCTGGGGGCCACAACCATGTGATCAAAGATCCAGCCCTTTTTCACATGCAAAAAGGGCAGGGCTTTGATTGCATGGTTGTGGCCCCCATCTCAACATTTTTGACTCTGTCCCTGTGGACACCCCTTGCTGTAAACTAGCCTAGAAGTCAAAAAACAAGAAGAAAGTAATGGGAAATTACTTTGGTATTGCTGCCAAGCAGTGGTGTGCTGGGGTATCTGGCACCTTGACCAGATCATTCTTTAACAACCCCCTGCTCTATTGCAGCTGCACCATGTCCCCACTGCCAAAAGCTGAGCAGTGTGCTGGCAGCAGCAACCTGACTCCACACCCACCGCTGACCCTACGGATGGCCTACTCTTTGTCCCCAAGTTGCCAGACAATGCACCTGGGGTGGACCACCTCCACTCCCTGCCCTTGGTATGCCACTGTGGCCAAGAAAATTATATGAACATATCCACCAACCCCAGAATCTGAGCTTGACTTAAAAAAAAAAAAAATAGAAGATGTAGACAGATGTGATTTTTTTTTTTTTGTCCCTGAGTTCATTTACTCAATAAAAGAAACTCTCTTCAAGTAACAAAACCCGGTAATCTATCTCATTTAAATAGTAGGGGGAGTTTTATGTAGACATGCACATACATATGTATTTATGTACTGTGTTGCTGCCAAGCAGTGGTGTACAGTACTTGGGTATCTGACACCTTGATCAGATCTATGTTATTATGCACATGTTATATGTGCATCAGAGGAAAAAAGGATAATCTGAATTGGCTCGTTGTCAGAACCTATATCAGACATAACAACAAATGCAATATCCATTTATCTATGATACAATTATATAAAACAAGTGAGGCCTAGAAGCAAATGTCTCAGGATAAGGTATTCTAAGCACTCTAGTCCACTCCAGCTCAAAGACAATGTTCTGTGGCCACTTTAGAATGTTTGTGTTTCACTGAACTATCTTGGGTCCCCATTCCTTTAGGGTTTTTCTCTTCAGGGTTTTTTTTTTTGGAGGGGGGTCTTTATAAAAAATATCTCAGGGTATCCTCAAGCCTACTGATATCGTATCCTGGTTCATAGTTAGTGTTGTTTGGCAACATAGGACACAATGCTCACAATCTGGAAGTAAAAGGAATGATATGCCACTTTGTAATTTAGAGTGTGGTTTAAAAACTTGTCCCCCCATAAGATTCAGAGATGTAGACCATTATAATGATTTATAATGTGTGATGGATCATAGCAGGAATAAATAATATGGACAGACATCTATCCTCTCCCCACATTGCCTTGTCCCTGAGCATTAACATTTTTATTTCCTTTTATTTATTTATTTGTTTGTTTGTTTGTTTATTTTTGGAGTAGTTTTTATTACTCCATGTCATTAGTTGGTTCTTCCTGTCAAATTGTCACTTTTTTAAATAAAAACCTTTAAAGTGCTTCATCCTCCAAACAAATACATGCAATAGCAAGAGCATTGTTTGTTACATGTCTTCATTATGCTAACACTACAGCTGTTCTAAATTAAAAATAAATAAATGCATCGGACTTTGTGAATGGGAAAAAAACCCCTTCCCTAGTAGTTGCCAATCAAATGCAGCTTTGTTTCACTGCATCATCCAAATGAAATGAAAGAAAACAATCTGGTCCCTGTTCACATGGTGCTTAGAAATATTTTAGCACACACCCACACATTGTGGTAGTTTGCCATCTGCTGTGAACAGGTGGCACTTATGTATTAATCTAAGAACATGTGAACCCCTTGTGCAGCACTTTCAGCACCTGCATTAAGCCCAGAGGTCACCACTTCACATCCTGTTTCCTAAGTCACATCTGATCCAGGCCAATATTCTCAAAGGGGCTACCAACAGAGGCATAGAAAAGATGGCTGATCTCAGAATAGGAATGCCTATTTTGCCTTACCTTGAGGAGATACTTAGGAGTGCATGCAAAACAGAAAGGAGAAGAAAGAAATGCTCAGGAGAATTACAAGAGTGGGAGTGGATTTAAGATCAGACCGTTTGATATGGTGCCAGGAGAGAGACAGGCAGCCACAGAGAGGGGAGAAGGGGGGGGGGGCGTGTAAAAAACCCTTCTTTTTCAAAACTGAGAACAGTTGCTGTTTCTTCCTCACACAGCAAAATGGTTTTCAAATGAATATGTTAAAAGAAACCCTCAGGAAGACATTTTTAGTGGTGACAGAAAAGTCCCATGTAAGGCAAAAGGAAAGAAATGTTGCACCAGCATGGGCAATGAGAAATGTAGGTCACATAACCAAGGAACCTTCCAAATTCAAATCTTATGGGAAAGAAGTGGGGAAGATATTTTTAAGCAGAAATGTGCAAACTTTTTCTCCAGAGGAGAGAGGGGATAGAATTCCAGTGCTGAATCCTGAGAGACTGGTGATATTTGTGCATTATAATAATTGTTACATATTATCCTCTCAGGTTCTTTTAATCCCCAGATGCCAGCAATCAGGAAGACTGGTCCCTTTTGGCTAAAGACTATATGGTTTACTTTTAAGACTATACACCTACAGTTACTTCTCCATCCTAAGGATTTTTGTTTCAATGGAGGTCTCTGCTAACTGAAAGACTTGATTTTCATTAATTTGCCCTCTCTTTGCAGTCCACTTGTGCCACTCTAAATCTTCTCCAGAGAGTTAGGGACCCTTGTGCAGAGATGGCACAAGGGAAAGGTTATTTAGGAAAGGGGAGTAGGTGTAATATCAAACATTCTTCCGAAAGGAGGAAAACTCCTTTCACTGGGGAAAGGGAACCACGGATGACAGCACTTTGTTTCTTGTACTAAACATCCAAAGAAAGATACTGATTCAAAGACGCTCCAGCCTTTGTATTATTTTATGTCGTTGTTTAATTCCAATCTTTCACTTTGTCAAGCCACATTTTTATGCATGAGCCTACATATTAATACTGGAGAAAGAATATAGCTCTGAAAAAGAAAAGTGTTAGGGTGAAATTAAACACAGCAGAAATCACAGAGTTGCCAGCAAAAGTAGCAGCTCTGTGTTTAGTTCTCTTGCTTTCTTGGTATTGTTCAATGGAACTAACTGGAAGAAATATCATTATCTTGTAAGTGCTTTTAGATGTTCCAGCATGCAGTTACCCTACATCCTTCATTTAATCTGACAGAGGAAGCAACCATCATTGTCCTTTGTTTGTAAGGAAAAGATGGAACATTTGTTTTGTTTTTATTGATAACACAAGTAACACTCCACCTACAGTAGAACTGTGTTTCTCAACTTTGGTGACTTCCATTTCTGAGAATTCAAGGATTGGGGGGAGGAGGAGGAGAAACTGATAGCATGGTGTCATGTCTATGTTTACCAAGGGTTAAAGGAAAAAGACTTATGTAATTTCTAATTCAATTAAATAATTGGATGGTCTTGGGATTCTTAACACACTTCGGTTGAGTACTGTCTACCAAATTCACCAAATCTGAGTATAAAAAAAAAAATGAAGAGAATGTTAAACTATATGTTATGAAGAAATCTCAAAAACTAAAGGGCAATCCTTTAGTTTCTGCCAAATGTCTGATATAACGTAAGAACAGAAATCTGACCTATGTCAAGCATATTCAATCCTCCACTATTGATAACATTCAGCTAGTTTGTGACAGTGCTGTGGTTAGGAGGGGAAATGCCTAAAAGCTCATGTTTGATCACTACAGTATTAATGCATCATTCCCAAGAGGGAGATTATATGTTAATTTTTCTATGGAAGAGAAAGGAAAAGGAAAAGCAAGGAAAAAAGATAGTAAATAAAAAGAAAGATAATGATAATCAAGATGATTCTCCTATAGAAAGAAAAAATAAGCAAGAACTCTTTTTAATAATAGTAACAAGTGAAAAATAATTAAACAAAATTAAATACTTAGAATGTTACAAGTCAATGGCTTCCAAAAAGAATTCTAAGTGAATATGAATCGCAAGAAAGCATTTCAGCCTCTCTAATATATTTCAGACCTTTTTTTAAATATAAAGACAAAGTTTAGGTGTGTACTGACCTTAATTCGACCTGAACCAAGCTGTGGAGGTAAAGATCTGGATGCAGCTGTTACTCTTGCCCTTGCCTGAGCCAAGTTACCTGTTTCAAAAGGGAGAGACAGAATAAGAAAGACAGAAGGAGAAAGCAGTGAAGATTAAAAACAATTATAAAAAAAGGAAAGTCTCCCTCAAGTGGAACTCAACTCCTGGTGACCACATGACACATTTGTGTTGCTTTCTTGGCAACAATATGGAAGTGGTTTGCCACTGGGCAAAAAGACCATGAAAATCAGAAAGTCAGGCAAGTAATATAAGTAACAGCAACATGAACACTAGGATACTTTTCTAGAGCCTAGAAGCATGCTCTCATTGAGTTTTCAAATTAAACCAATCTTTGCAAATGGAATTAGAATTGCATCCACAGGCAACTCCATCCCCAGCCTCCAAGATGTCCTTTATAGGACAGCCTTTGCACCCACCTCTGTAAGCATATTCAAGGGCATATTTTGCTTCCTATGTACAATAATTATCTAGCCCTCTGGACTTGCAAAATAAGGACTGTCTGCAGGTTTCTAGGGAAGGATCTTAAAAACATGGGTGTTAAGAGCAAGAAAAACAAGACCAGTACTATACCCATGAAAATCTGGAGTAAATAATATGCAAAGCATTGAAAACAGTGAGAAGGAGTGGGCAAAAAAATTAAAGACAGGAGCTAAGAGAAAAGGAAATCTAACTGAATTTAGTTTATACCAATTCCATTCATCATACTTCCAGGCCGTTCTATCCTTGTAAATTATGGCTGCTTCCATATACCAATTAAATTTGGCCCAGATGGATTTGCAGCATCTGAAACCCCCTCATTACTATCATTAATGGCACATGCTTTAGATGATTCTGTCTAGAGTATTAAATAGCATTAGTAAAGTATCTTTATTTCAATCAATCTTTACTTCAGTGTATCAGTAAAGTAGATATTGGCTATTTGCAAGAACTCTTGAATAAAGAGTTTGAATATGTCATATTGACAAATCAACAGCTAAGTGTATTAAAGAATATTAATTACATTTCTTATGATGTTAAGATTAAATATATTCAACTGAATTTTTCACTCCAGAAAATGTTTTAAAAGGGCTGGCTCTTAACTTTGGTATTTTGGAAGAGTAAAAGGGATGAGTGGAAACTTATACATACTGTATGAGCTTGTCATATTATTGCCCCATTTTGGTTTGAGCCATAACAGTGATCTTTTATTAATACAGTTTGAATATATGAATGCATTCCTTATTTCAAGCCTATTCACTTTATCATATGTTCTTTATAAATCAACAAATGTGTAGTAGACCAGAGGTTTTCAATCTTTTTCAGACTGCAGAACTTGTTAGTTAAGAAAAATGTCCTAGAATCTGATCAAGGGGCAAAAGGATGAGTTATCCTAAGCGCAAATGCCCCTGGGTGTATGAAGCTTCTGAATGTCAGCTGACAAGTCCTGCCCTTTCCACTGCAATTTAGAAAAACTGCTCTGGAATGAACCTTTTTTCCCCCCTCTTAATCTCTCATAGAACCCCCTCAAGTTCTCATGAAACCCTAGGGCTCTGCAGAACATGGTTTGAAAAACTCTGTAGTAGCTTTCTCACATTCATACATGTCTCAATAACCACCTGAAGAAGGGGAAAAAAAACTGGTCTGCCCATTCCATGCCCAGCATAAAGCCACACTGCACTTCCATATTTTGCTCATGGTCACTTCTCATACTCTTTCAAGTAGAATTTTGCAAAAGATTTGCCTAGCCACATTTAACAATTTTTTCCCCCCAATATTGATTTTTCCTTTGTGTAACAGCATAGCAACAATATTCTTTCAACTGTCAAGTACAGATGTAGTCTTCACAAAAAAGTTAAATTGCATAGCTAGTCCATAGGCACATAAGCTCATTAATATTTTCACGTGTTCCTAGTTGCACCATTTATACCTACAGCCTTACCATTTTTCAACCTTCTCAAAGCATTTACAACTGCTTTTTTTTTACTAATTTGTTTCTTATACACCAAAATTAATAGCATTCAGTTCTACTTTTCAACATATCATAATCATTCCTATATAAATCTCTAAAATATTCCTTCTAGCATCTCATTTCAGTTTCATCCCAAAGATTTAATCAATTGTGCTGAAGGCTATCTTCATCCTCATCCAAATGTTTTTTAAATATCTATCAAGAATTCCTCTGCATTTTCTGTTTTAATCTTAACTGTTCTGTGCTGTCTTTGACTACATTCTGTATAGCTATCTTTTTTCTCCCTATGCACATTATACAGTATCTTTACCTCACTGTCATTTTTGCAGTACTTTATTACAGTACGTGCAGTTTTTCTTTTTTTTAATGTAATTTTATTGAAAGTTTTAAAAACAAGAGTAAAAATTAATGCAAACTAAAATAGAGTAAGAAGGAAAAAGGAAGAAATAAAAGAGAAAACTAAAGTGCAAAAAGAAAAAAAAGAAAAGAAAAAATGTAGAAGAAAAATAGAAAAGAAAAAAGATATAAAGAAGTGGCTTCTGATCTTCTTTACAACTGTTATAAGTACAACTGTAGATTTACCTCTTTTCCTAAAGTTATATCGTGACTCTCTTCTTTCTATAATCTATCTTACCTAATCGTCAAAGCCATAGATCATAAGTTCATTTTTTTTCTGTTTTATGCAAAAAGTCCATAAGGGGTTTCCAGTCAGCAATAAACATAGACATTGTCTTTTCTCTATTCAAACAGGTCAATTTGGACATCTCAGCAATTCTATCATCTTCACCAACCATTTCTCTGTTGTAAGGATTGCCAAATCTTTCCATCTTTGTGCATACAATAATCTTGCTGCAGTTATCATATATAAAAACAAAGTCCCATGACTTTTCTCAAATATTTATCCATCAGTCTCAAGAGGAAAAGTTCTGGTTTCAGTTGTATATTAATCTTTAAAATCCTCTGAATCAATGTATGCATTTGAACCCAAAATCTTCTAGGTTTTGCATGTCCACCAAGCATGATAAAATGACCCTTCTTGTTGTTCACATTTCCACCATAGATTTGGAGTACCTTTTGATGGAGCAATGGTACATCATTTTATACAAGTTCTCATTCAGATTATAACATAGTGTAAATTTCAGTCCTTTCAACCACATATTTTCCCATTGTTCCATCCATATTATATATATCCATATATATATCCATTGTTCCATCCATATTATAACCAAACTTTTAAGCCTACTTTATCATACATTCTTTCACTTGTTCTTCTTCTGTTTCTAATTTCAATAAAAGTGTATTCATTTTAGCAATCACATGTTCATAATTTGTACACAATTCCATTTCAAAGTCAGTCTTAGAATATTCAATACTATACATTCTTTTGTTTGCTTTGAATCTTTCTGATAACTGTAAATAGGAAAAGCATTGACAACTATGTCCCTCTGCCATCAGCTGTTCTCTTGATTTTATTTTGTATTCCCCTTGACAGAATTCTAGCATCTCACGGTATGTTAACCTTTTGTGTTTGCCTATTATTTCTCATCTATAAAATACTTCTTGTGCGGAGAAACAGAAAGGTGTTTTCAGGCACAGCCTGGATTTGTATCTATTCCATATTCTCAATATGGAACATCTAACACAATGATTTTTAAAATCTACATTAACCTTAACTTTATAGTACTACAATATCCATGCCACCCAATCTCAGATCATGTTCTTCTAACTCTAAAAGTCTTCTATTTCTTAGCAACACCCACTCTTTCATCCAAACCGAACAGCAAGCTGCAAAATATAATTTCAAATCAGGTAAACCCAAT